TGAGAAATGTATCTGGAGAGAAGGACGAGTTCCATGTTATACAACACCGCTGAAGATGTGTCAGCACAATCTTAGCAAAGGCAGCTACACATACCACTCCAACCATAGCAGGTGGCAGAGAAACATTTTCATGTCTCCAAATCATGCAAGTCTGGACACCTCATTCACACACTTCTTATAATAAGTGGAGCCACATGTGCAAATCAGTGTTCAGCTTGTGCATGTTCACATACAGTACAAGGTCTATTTGTCATTAACTTTACCATTAACTTGAACACATTGGATACATATCTGCAGACACTCCCACTCTGTAAACATACTGTTTAGCAAGAAATGAAGAGCAGAGCTGAAACCTCTGATTTTACAGCTGAAAGTCTGTACAGGTCTTGGGAATTACTTTGTTGTGCAAAGTCTTTTGTGGTTCCACAGGGAGACATATGGGGAGCAAATGAATAGCCTTATGGGATGTCACTTGAGTCAGTGTTGGCTGGTGCTGAAGACCACAGTTTGAAAAGGAATAGGCGCAAATCTGGTGTGTGGCACTAGAAAAGACGTGAGCTTACCACACCTCTGTCACCTGCTCCTCATCTCTGCTCGGGGGTAGCAGATTCAGACTACATTAGCCACTACCAGCATAACACACCCAAATATCTTACTGTAATTACAGGCTTACCATATGCCCAAAGGCACAGACACCTGTATCTCTGGTGATCCAGAACCAAATTACCTATACAAAAGTCATCCAATGTTCCAGTTCAAGGTGCATCACAAGTCTTTATAACTGGGACTAGACACTCACTCTTTGGTCAGCAGTGGGCAGGATATGAACAGGTAGTGGCTGAGTGGTGTGTCCTGGTAGGTGATCTTTGGCGGAGCTGTGGGACTCTTCAGGTTCAGACAGCGGACGATGATGTACAGGAGTGTCGCCACTGCTGCCAGCTTCATGCCATCGAATATCGCAGGCAGCTCTGGGCCAAAAGTGTGCACGCTCCCTTCCTCAACGTTGGCCATAGTGGTTATGGAAGAAGACCTGCTGTGTGCACAGTCAGTCAGGACAGCATTTACCTTACAGTGCATGTGACAGGAATTTACATATTTATAAAGTGCTATGACTATTTTAAACATCAGGTCTGCCAAGATAGAAGAACTAGTAGTTTAAACAAATTTAGACTAATATGAGTTTGTCTGTTTTGACACTGGTCATTTCATCATGAATCTTCTTGCAGTCACGAGTCACCACTGACACTGATAACCATCACAAACTCCTGCTGACCACTTTCCTCTGGTACATAACAGCACCAACCAGCAGAGATGCCCTCTGTTGGCCGAACAGTGTTACTCACCTTGCTGTCTTTCACTTCCAAGAAAGTACAGCGTTTTCAGTCCCTCTTATCGGAACCCAGTGTCCGATGAAGCCCACTCAGTGCTGGAAAACACACAGTTAAGCAACTTGTAACAAGTTCACTCAGCAAACACAAACAAACGATTACATCATAAACTTAAAATAAGTGTAACTCGCTGTTTCCTCATATATTGCTTGAATGACAACATCTAAACTAAAATAGCTTAGGTTAAAATGAAACAAGGAGCCAGCCTGGCGTTATTGGTTTGATTAAGAGTCACAAACAAGTATCTTCTGGCCTTAGTTTCTTGCTCTCTTTTGTTTTAAAACTCAGGTACAACTGTTCCTGTATGTGGCCGAAGAGAAGCCGCACACTTCAGCAAATACATAAACACAGTTTGGGCTTTACATAATGTGAATACTATCTTGTACAGAGAACATTTCCGGTCCTACCGCCGTGTTGCTGGAGTTTGTCCGGGTTCTGGTCGGAGCCACCTTGAGTTGCGCTGAGTCTCTAAACAGTGTTTTACCAGACTGACCAGGGTTGAACTCAGGGTGCGTTCATGAGCTCCTTCAAAGCTCCGCCTTGTGGTAAAGCACATCATAAATACAGCCAACTATATAAATATCACTTTAAAGCCTATTTTCGACATGACTATAGCTTTTATGTTTTCGTCAGCTGCACATTTAATTGTTTGTTGCAGTTTATGAGAGGGTATAAATTAAATTTCCGTTTTCTGATTATAGCCCACTTCCGGGTTAGTCGTGCGTACACTCAGAAAATATCCGACAGCACAGGAATGTAGCACGAAAACCAGAATAGTTTACTTCCTACTTCTGGGGAATTAACAGTAGCTTAACGGTAACATTAGTAATAACCGTAGCCTAATTTACAGTAATATCTCCAGTTTCACTGGACAGCCTGACGTGCCTTTTGAAAACCACTGTAGACCAGTGTAAGCATGTAACAGCACACATGCTGGTTTTCTTAGACTTGAAGAGAATATTGCATAATCTCCCACACCCTTAGCCACCACTTAAGCGTCACCGCTGATAAACTTCTCATAACCTACAAAACTGCCCCGTTCGCACACAAGTGGTCTGTTTTATATGTCTGAAAGATTATTCTTTTATTCAAGTGTCATAAACACAAACTACATTAATAATGCTTTTATAACTAGCCTGTTAGTGCTTGTTTTTAAAAAAAGTAAAGATTAGAATTATAGAATAAAGTCGATTTGCTTGTTTACAATAATGGTACTTTTATTTGAGTACACTTTCTGACTATTCTTCCCACTTTTCATCAGATATAAACTCAACATTCCCCTGTAGTCTTCATTAATCTGTCAAACAGACTGGAATGTCCCCCAGACATTTCCAGTCAGTATAAAAATATCATGGTTACACCATAGGAGCATAACATAGAGGATGACCTTTTAATGGGAAGTACAACAACAACAGCAGGTACACTTTCCTCTTTTGTTAGTGTATGTTCATTTTTCTAAAACGAAATTACCCCACCTCGGTTTCCAGTTGTTAGTAAAACCTTTGTTCATTGAGTTTTTAAACCACTGGAGGGCGCCGTCCAATAATGGGACAAATGACTGGCCCTCAGTATTCATTCATAAGAACATGGAGACCAGTTATCGAAATTTAACACCCCAAAAGTGCCATAACATTAACATCCTATTTAGAGAGAAAGTAGGAGGACTCATACATTTTATGAACCTAAAATAAGAGAGGGTGGTGGTGGTGTTTTTCTTTTATTTAAATTTTATTTAATTTTATTTTGCAATAAGTTGAAAGGAAGAATGAGATGAAAGTGAAAGGTACACAGCTGATACAGATGACAATCGACTGAAAAACATTTGATTTATTATTTTATTTTATTATTATTTGAACATATCCTGTATATTCTCCTCTGACCCAAATACTCTACTGAGCCCACACTTTGCTCAGTTTTGTTGAAAAGTGTGAGCAAAAAAATGTTTTATGGACTAGAAACATCAAAACAAGGGTTGGGGCTTTTTTTTTTTCTTCCAGTGAAACAAAACCACAGTGATGCAGCCATCCCCAGTTGTTTTCACTTCTTTATCTGTGGTGGTGTTTGTACAATGAATCTGATTCCTCCTGTTTGTTTCCAGATAGGACACAGAAGTGAAAGAGGGCCAAGTGGATTGTTCTTGTTTTTTTGTGTTCAAGATGTGAAAATTCACACCAGCTGTCCAATAATAAATTCTATTACAAATTTCTGGATTCCCTGTTAAGTGTACCACATATTCTCAGGATTCGAGTTTACAGGATTATGCTGAGGATTAGGATCAAACAGGCTTCTGTCTCACTGAAGCTCCATCTAACCTTCATTTTGTGAAAATTTACATCATCTGACTTTAAAAAAACATACGTTGCACATTTATTAATGCCTTGTTTCTGTAACGTTAGAGAGAATTGTTGTAAGGCTGGAGAAGTTACTATGTCTGCCTTATGCCAGTTAAAATATGGGGTTTCTCAATTGCCTGCTTTGTTTAGAGTGTTACACATCTCTTTTCAGCGATACATACCCTTGTTTACCTATCTATGGAGGAGAAATTCATATTAATTAATGCCATTGCAGATCCTTGTGCTGTCCACTTGTGACACAACACTGGCAGCAGGAGTTATGTGTGTTCACGATCTGTCCTCTCGTTTTAAGGAAGAGGCTTTTTGGTTCTGATTCTGAAACAAATACAAGCTATTTGAAGTTATGAGGGGTGCCCAGCTAATCTAGAGATACCCAAGATTAAATATTAAATGGCTGGAAACGAGCAAAATGAGCATGCCATGGGCTCTTTAATGAAGGTCAGTCGTGTTTGATAAAAGAGGAATATCAGTGGTTCCATTGTGGAGTCTCACCACATTTGACAGCTGTTTCATGTCAACCAGCGACTGATCTGTGCTATGGCTTCAATATTGTATGGATAAGCAGTTTTTTCTGTCTGCCTGTTGAGTGCAGTTTGGGGATTTTGCTGACAATTTTTCTGCAGCAACAAACAAGACAAAGAGGTGTTTAATAACTTTGCTGAAGCATACTTCAAGTATTTGGCCTTAAAGGCATCAAAACACTGATCCTTTAGCTACAGGATGGGAAAATTCCTCTTAACTCTGCAACTTGCTGTCCATACAAATTTCTCACACCTTCTACACATTTTCAGGCATTATGAGGTGTGTAGTTACCTGATTATGGGTAAAGAGAAACTTTTTATGATGCCTGAGTTTGCTAATATTAAATGTCTTAGGGACAGAATATGTGTCACATTGGGAAACTGGAAGGTATATAAAGCCATGCATATAAAATATGATTTAACTTAAAAAAGGACTGCACAAAGAACAGAATAAAATTTTGCACATTGACTCTGATGCTATGGTATTTTTCATTTAGTTTGTTTCAGTTTTTAAAATCTCTATTTGTTAGTCAGAAACATTACAGTAACTTTCTATTCTATCAAATAATACTTATTATAATGGTAAACTGTGGGTAATTTTACTAGGCATTATTTTTTAGAGATCTGCACAATTTAGGCACATTATACGTTAAAATATAAAACGTCTTAAAACTAGATTTTAACTCGGGTCCCTCCTCAAAATGGCTATCCCACATGCCCTTACTGTGCTTTAGAGGTGCATACATAAATATCAACCACTTACAATTACTCACCATACTCCAATTTAACTGCCAAACAGTGAATCTGGGATCACGCCTCAGAAGGCCTGGGACCTAGGGGCAGTTGCTTGCTTTGAGGAATGACATGGAAAGGACCCCAGTTGGGCCTCGTGTGGATGTACATCACATCACTCCTGTTTTATATAGTTCTAATATACATGTGGTTCAGAATTAGAGAAGTGTTGCTGATGTTTCGTTACAGTGGATACATTTGAAAACAAGTTCTTCACTGCAGAACAGTTAAAACTCTGCAAGCTGATTTGCTGAAAACAGCTTTTGAATAAGGAGATCTAGGTCATTTAAAAATCTAATTTTAACCCCCTTGTTGTGGAAAAAACGTTGTTCAGCGAGCAATTGATTTATACCATTGATGTCCACTTGTTGCCATACATGGATCAGTTTCTGTCTTTATGATTCTGCTATCGACCCTATGTACTTTTTTTTCTCACCCCTGTGTGTCTACCGTATGTGTTGCAAAAGATGTTTGTTTTCTGTTCATCTTTAGCCAGTTGCAATGTGTGTGATAATAAGTATCACGTATCATGGTGTGCGTGCTTATCAAAAAACTCTCTCTCAACCTTCAACTCAAACGTGTAGTCAAAACATGGACAGAAAACCTCCAGAAATTCATAATGACCTACGTACTTATTTCCTAACATATCCTTGGTTTGTCTTAATATAAAATAATGCAAACATATAGATTGGCATAGAACAGAAATAAGAACAAACTTTTCCCAGATATTGTTTTTACTTCCTAAAGAGAAATACATACTTTCTTTTCTTGAATGTCTCTGTTCTTCATCTCATGAACTAGGAGTTGAAGCCAGGCGGTCTTTTCACATGTCACCCTTTGCTTGATCTGCAGCCCACTGCTCATCAAAGTGAATGGGAATGCACCTTTGTATCACTCCACATGGCTCGACATTTAGCTTTAATGTTCAAAAGTCATCTGAGGGAAGGACTTTTTATTTGGTCCTAGGTTTCACATAGAATGGTTTCAAGATACTTGATGTAAACAATATAAAGGTAAACTAGGTGTGGAGATCTGATGTGAACAGACCATTAATGTGTAGCAGCCATTCTTTTCTCTATTTGAGCTAGTTGCCAAGCATGAGATCATGCATTTAAATCGTTTTGGCTTGTTACTAGGCTACAGAAGGGTAATTTTACCCTGCCAGTCAAAGTGGGTAGAGTTCATATAAGAATGTTATTGCTGCTATATGTGGCACATTTTAAACAGGGAAAGAAATGGAAAGGTGAGAGCCTGAAACATCCCAGGCCATAATGTAATCATTTGCTCTGAAGTTGACTGTAGCTATATTTAGCCTGCGTTTGTCTCCTAAATGTGGACCAGGATGAAATATTACAGTGAGCCATTTTTGTCCATGCAAGAGCAACGAGGTGAAACATTCAAAGGCTGACATGATCTGCACTCCTGAACATTGCTCTCAGATTTACACCCATGAAAAACAATTCTTTGCCTCACATCCACTCCCTCTGACAGCACTGAAATTCAGCTCTGACCCGCTGCTGATCTCAGCCCAAGTAACACCCACAGATGACCCTCTCAGCTTGTCACAAAAACATACTGCCCTTAATCTGCATTTCAGAGGAGGATTTCATGGCACCATAATGGGAATTTCCCAGAACCTTTAAAGAATGTTATGGTTTAGTCCCCCTCACCAGGAGGGTGAGGGAGAACTGGGGTTGGACTCAAGATGGCTGACCCAGATGCTAGTACATAAAAGGAGGTTTAATGGATTAAAAACAACAAAGTGACAACATAACAGGGTCCATAATACATACAAGGGAAGGGCAGTGATGACTAAGGAGACCAGGTACACATACACACTAATGGCAGGAATCAGGAGGATGAGAACGGACAGATGAACAAAAAGAACTAACGTCAACAATGCAATCCACAGTACAGGGACTGTCAGCGTGGAAGACAAAGCACGTATTTCTGTATTGCTAACCGCATAATTAGCGTGATAAGGTCAAACCAAAACGCACAGAGACCGTCAGCGTAGCATTTTACACACGTCTAAAAATGCGGTTCAAACAAACTTTTAACTTGCATAGGGTAAGTACTGTCCATTACATGTCGCAATAATCCGGCAACCACGGGGCGTCTGCCAGAGGTATAAATAAGGAAGCCAACAAATCACCGGAATACGCCTCAGGTGTGCGCACCGACCCACGAGTCACTAATTACCCGATGCGACACAGCTGAGGCGTTGATCCCGCAAAAAGGGAGAGAAGGAGAGGAAAAATAGAAAGAGGCAGGTCGCGCTGAGGGGACCTGACAAAGAATAGACCAACAACATCAAGAAAGGCCATACACATGCACTGATGTAACCAGTTTCTAACCTGTTTGACTAAATTAATCTGCGTAAAATCATGCAAAGTCAAACTTAATCAGCTGTTTAACAAAAACATTAAAAACTAAGACTGTTAAGTGTTCAGTCCCCTTGTGCTGTACACAGACACCAAAGAAACCATGGCCTTTGGATTTCTGTCTGTTCAGGCTTTCACTTAGTACAAGGCAAATCGATTCACCACCATTGCATTTTGGAATATGCTCCACATGAACACAAAGAAACAAAGTTTTAAACTACATTTTGAGACAGGGACCTTTAGAACACAGGTACAGAAGGTTATTTATTGATAATTATCTAACTAAGGCAAAATTATATACAAGCAATTTAAGTTATTTAGAAGCAATAAAGTGATTAAGACTGGGTAGTTAAGATGACTTAGTTAAGAAAAAATGTATTTAAAACAATATATAGAATAAGAATAGAGAAGAAAGGTAGAAAAACAATGTACATACGTTGCAACTGCATTTGGCAGTATTGTGGCATAATCATTTATTTCCGGAGTTTTGCATTAAAGATTTTAATCAATACATTCAATGCAATGCAAATTTTTGGTTGTTTACAGGGTAATCCCACCTCCCCCCGGTGTTTACCCCTAATCAACCAGAGAGGTATGGGGCGGGGCTTCAATTATAAGGGAGGCTGCGATTGGCTGAGAGCTGAAGCGCACGTGCTCCTGCTGCCTTGGAGTTGAGAGACGCATGACAAGCTCGAGCCTCAGTAGCAGCGACGTGCGGAGCGTAGTCACCCTATCATCCTTTTTACTCCACTAACTGCAGCTTATCTACGACTGACTATCGGCAAATATGAAGGACCACACGCAGGTTTTCGTCTGGCTGCAACTTTTCACAGCTTGTCTGGTGTTTGGTGTCAACGGTAAGTTGCCTCTTTGTGTTTGTTTACAGTTCAAACCGCGGAGGTTAACGTCCCCGGAGCGTTGGTGTTTCCGTTGAGTTCGTGTTCGCTGTAAAGTTGCTCTCTCTCTCTCTCTCACCGTATCAACTTTTAATTGGTTGAAATGTGGATGTTCATTTGCAGGATATGTTGCTGTGCGCGTATGTTGATTTGGGAAGTGTGTTGTGATTATTTCTTCTCAGCCTGGCACAACCGTGGCACCGTGAATTCATCACCAGAGTAACCGAGCAGTGGGCATTTCTAAGTTCACAAGTTCAAGCGTCCTTGAATAAGATTCCGGGACGTGTGGGAATGTGGAGACTGAGACACTATTTGGTTGGGCTGTTTTATGTTAGGGGCCTTCACATCATTTAAGAAATCAGAAAAGTAACCAGTTTTAGGTGCATGTTTTTCATGTTGTGAAGACCTCTTGTTAGGTGAGAATGTATGGCCACAGAGAGAGAACAAAACGTGTACAGAGGAGCACGACAGGCCAGCTGTTTATTTCTCCAGTTAATCATATGCCAGTGGCATTTGGTTTTGTTTGCATTTCGATGAATCAAACACATTTAGGCTGAGGGACAAAGACTCAATGGGTCAGATTTTCCTGCCTGTATATTTTGCTCACAGGCTGAAGGGAAAGGCTTCACAAGTGTTTTGGTATGATGATGTATTTTACAAATGTTAAAATGTTCCTTTCCAACTTATAACTTGGGTTTGTGCTGTGTGAATGACAGTCCTAAATGTTTCATCAACTATTTAACTATTTTGAGTTTAGTCTCAGCCTCAGGGATCAACACTCAGCACCAAAGGTCAATCACTTTTTCAGTCTACTTTAATGGGAAAGGTGCAAGGACTGTCATAAGACATTTAATTAAAGTACAGGGCAGAGCACATTATATTAGATGTGATTAAAGTCCATAGTCCCCACTGGTTATAACTTGGGCTCTTAAAGGAACAATGTGTAGCATTGACACCAAGCGTTTCAAATGGGTACTGCAGTCCAAATTTAAAATATTGAATATTGGAGCAAGTGGTTCAGTTTGGAGATTTATGCAAGTACTTAATTTGGAACCAGGGAAGATAACCAAATATATCTTTTATAGATCCCTGGGGCAGTCTAAACTGACGACTCTTTTAGATTTGGATTGCTTTTTCATCCCATATCCTGTAACAACCTCATATAGTCCTGTGTGACAGAGAGCTGCTAAATTTTTCCTGATGGATGTCCCACTTACACAGACGGCAATGTGGGGAGAATCAGCATGTTTGTTCCTCGGACATACTCAGGAGCTGGTCAGCCGTGGAGAATAGGTGTGGTTGCGCTGACCAAAGCGTTGAGTCACTTTTGCCAGCACAGGCATGTGGTGAACTTCCACCCACGAACCCACTCGCTGAGACCTTTCCACACTGTCAGGGAGTTGGAGGGCATGGGAGTTGTTGCTGCTGTGTCATGCAAAATGTTTACAGGGCAGGATCAGTGCTGAGGCCAGGGGTTTTCCCCCTATGTTTTACCTGATTAGGTTCAATTCAGCAGGTTGTGTAGCTCATTGGTTTTTCTCTATTTGCTGCTGAGGAGAGAGAGGTGGAAAATGGTTTTCTGTGCCAGGACTGAGGCACAAGTCCACTTAGCGGCTAAATATAGTCAGACACTGGGACAGGGACATGGCATAGGTGTGTGTGTGTGTATGAACACTTGTCTGCTGAAATGGATTCAAATTTTAGGCTGTTATTGGACCTACTTAACCTGGAATTTAATGTCCTTTTAAGGTAGTGGATGTTCCTTCTCTTCAGTTCCACTACAAAGTCAAATCATGCAGTGACTGTTTAGCATAGGATTTATGGAGGGTCATTTAATGAATGAATTTTACATTTTTGTAAAAATTTCTTGTTATTTCTTTTGACTAATAATATTTCTGTTATTACTGAAAATGTGCTTTGGCCCACTCTGACTTAAAAACTTCATTATTCTGGGTTTCAGTACAGAGGTTTTGGAGGACATGAAGGTGGCTTGGGAAAATGTTGAAGATCATCTTTATACAATGAGAATGCAAGACTCGGAGATGAAACTAGGATATGTATTAAATATTGTTGTAATATAACTGGGTATCAAATCATTCATATTTATCAGGATCATTATCAGACTTCAAACCCTCATACCAACTAAAGAGCTGATTGTGGGTATTATTGAGTTGTGATTATCATTTTGTTATTTCAGTAAAGCAAAAATAAATGAAGAAATTACAGTAGAAATTTTGTCACTATTTTCTGACATGTTATGACCAAACAATGAGCTGATTATTTGAGAATGACAATAATTGCTAGTTGCGGCTCTTTTTGGTTGAGTTCTTGTGTCTGTGTATGTGAGAAACTTGAATGTGAGAGCGTTTCGTTGTCAAATCCAGCTCTTACCATCTGCCTGCACTGGGTCTTCGCGTCAGGCGTCTGTCTTTTTCAGCGCTGATGACTCTATTGTTACTACTCCCGCTGAATTCCTCAGGAATTGACAGGCTCTTTTTCTTCCATCTGAATTTTGAATAGCTTCCTTAATCAATGTTTTATCACACTGTGGAGCGTCTTCTAATTTGGGCCACTGTGTGTCTCACCCCACTTTCCAATCTGTGATGCTGAATATTTTACACACTGTCATGTGAGTTTAAACATTGAGCCAAGGACTAAATTGGTGCTACTTGAATCCAAGAAGAAGAAATGTTTCTATACAAAAACAACTTGGTGTTAATGAAATATAGATAGAGCCCATTCAGCTCAGACTTGATGTTATGACATTGCTCAAGGCTCTATTTCACCTGCAGTGCTTCAGAGAAAGGCTTGTGGTTTTGTTGACAGTGTCTCACACTTGTGTGTATTTTTAGCTACTGACACTCATTTTTTATTGTTTGGAGCAGCAGCAGATGGCTGTGCTGCTCTGGAGTAGCATTTGCAGATTACAGGAAGCTCACCTGCAACTGGAGTCCTGAGCATAATAGTCGCAGATTACAGGAAGCTCACCTGCAACTAGAGTAATAGTTAAAAGGTCTGAGGTATTTAAGCGGGTGGGTAGATCTGGTCTTGATCACTCCAGTCGGTTTCTCCTTTCGTCTACAGAATGCAGTAGTGCAGTTTGGCAGTGGCAGGTCATCTCAGTGGATGGCCACTCTACAGGCAGTCTTATTATGCTTCAGCACATCCTTAGTTTTAACAAGGACTGGACATGTGTATGTTTCTGCGTGATGCTTGGCTTTCTGGAACACAAAGTTCCCACACTTGCCTGCCAGCCTAGAGAGAGATGCTTACCCATGGCTGTGCACTGTGTGTCTTAGTGCACCCTCTGTAAAACACTGCAGCCTCCAGAAATGATTGTTTCACATCAAACTGATGAAGGCTCACTTGCATCAAGGCAGTTTTTATCCAAAGTGATATTTTATCTCTCTAACTATGGCTGTTTCTTAATATGGGCTGCAGTAAGCCTCCTCAGAGAATCCACTCCCACACCTTGTGTCCTGATATGGCTTCCTTGTCTTTATTTCTGTAGCTCAGAACCCTTAAATGACTTCTCTGGCAGTTTCGCCATGTGGTCCAGGTGTTTTGCTTTCTTGTTGGGACATCTGCTTAGCCTTGTAAAAGGGTCAGGTTTCTGTGTTTGTCTATTCACCTGGGCCATGTTGACTCAGGTCACTCAGGCCCTTCCAGCACCAGCATGTTAACTTGTAATGACTTCTTCTATGGGATCATGTGCACTGTGTGTTGTGCTGTCACTCATTTGTTTCTACGATGTAAAACATTAGATATGTCTTGGTCACTGCCCCGTGATTTAAAACACTAATCACTGCAGTCATTTAAGACATGAGCCTGGGTTTCTAAAAACTTCCCTTGTTGCCAAGTAGCAAGTCATAAGACCAATGTACTGAGGCAAAAATAGCTGGTAGAGTAGTATGCACACCAATATGCTGCTAAGTGTTATAGTATATTATGTATCTTTTGACATGTTTGCATTAAAACATATAGCTACATGCCCTGACATGATACCTGGCCCCAGCTGTGTTCTCATATCTGAGTCTCAAGCTTTTGCAGAGTCAAACACCACTTACTAGATGCCTCACTGGGGACAGGACCGTTGGGTGATGCTTGCTCTAGCTACTCTGTGCTTTTGGTCTGGTATTTGAACCTCATTCTTGTGCCAAGGCATCATGAGAAAGGCGCAGACCATGACTCATAAGGAGTGAGAAAGGCACAATACCCTGTGGAAATGGCTTGTTCTGCCAAACAAAGTCCACATACCTTCCTAATCTGTCACTGTGGTTAGGATGAAATGAGGACACTACTGGTGCTGCAGTATTTTTGACAGATGTATTAGGTGTTTATCTTTCTGTGGCTGCTTCCTTGGTGACTCATAGCTTTAGTAGTTATTTATTTATTTTTTTAATGTGTGTGTGTTTATATAATGAAAACTGATATATTGTTTTTGGAAATAAATCTGTGTTTACGCATCCACACCCACTTTAAATAAAATATCAAGACAACATGAATATGCTAGGACTGGTTTCCATAGTGGTTCTAATAAGGAGACCTACTGTAAGAGGCATTAGTTCATCAGCAACCTCTTTCAGGCGTATGTAGGCTGAGGAGGATCAGTGAGACCTCTGACAAGCAGCACTGCACTGTTGTGTCCATACTTGGTGTATTTTAGGATAACTGATTAGCTTTGGGAGTTCACTGTATGTGCAGCTGCAGCAGTTTAGAGTCAGCTTACCCACATAACAAAAAGGCCTTTATTACTTACATCTAGAGATGCACCGATTGGAATTTTATGGGGTGAGCCTGATTTTAGGTTTTTTAATTTGTTGCTGATTTCAATTTTGGCCAATTCTGATTTTTGCGTTTCTAAGAACTGAAATGGACAGCACACACACATTTTTGTAAATTTTCTTCAGTGAAAAATATTATTGTTAGCTGATAAAATAAAACATTTCATTTTCTGCCTTTTTAAATTTATTTTGACAAACCTCCAACTAAAGTGCAATATTTGTACTTCAAGTATAAAAAGGTCCAGCAGGTAATAGAATAGAGGAATGTCTGTTGCATCAATACCAGCCTACTGATCAATCTCGCATCCAGTTCCTTTTAAAGTGTGTGTAATTTCTATATGCTGTGGCTTACCATGGTTTGGGCACACTGTACATGTACACGCAGTTTTGGACCATAGTTTTCCCTTCTCCAAGGGGCCTCTGTAGGCTCCTGTGTGTTGTACAGCAAGTGCTTCCAATGTACGAGTGAAAAAATGCTGGGTATAGACAGAGGTACAAGCCTCACATGAGGTGAGCGCGAGATGCTACGTGCTGCGCACACTATGTTTTTGGTGTTTGCCACTGTGAATGTGAACCAATGTGTGTGTAAATTTGACTGGGACAGAATCCGGTTATCAGGTCATCAAATCAAAATTTATTTGTATAGCACAAACAATGTCTGGTCGACCAAAGTACTTTACACGGCAATGCAAATCCAGAGTAAAAAAATATCAATAGAGAAATAAAACATAGGAACATAAAAACACCAAGTACACAGAATTAACAGATAAAAGGAGGAAGCATCAGACAATACTATGTATTAAAAGCCAAAGTGAATAAATATGTTTTAACCAATGATTTCAAAGTTGTCAAGTCTGTAGAGGAACCAACATTAAAAGGTAAACCATTCCACAATTTAGGAGCTGCAACAATAAAAGCACGGTCACCCCAGCGTTGGTATCTGGCCCTGGGCACTTCTAACAAAAACTGGCTTGAGGATCTGAGCCGATCAAGCTTAAAAAAACCAGCAAAAAAGAAAAGCTCTGTAGACTCAAAGTATCACTTGAAATTTGTTAAGAAATATCTTTGTTTGCTTTGTAATACAGTTTAACTGAACCTGTAAACTGTGATTGGTCAGACATAATGGTTAAAATTAAGCTTAGTTTCCTGCATTTACTTATTAATAAACTAAACTGAAACTACAGCTGCTGATTTCCACTGAAACAAACTGTTGCTTATCTGCAGCAGTATCCATCTGTCAGTTGTCTGAGTGGATAATGGGGAAGAATAAGTCTCTGGTTTCCTCTGAAACAGCAGCAGAGCGTTCAGTTAATGGGGGGAGGAAACCACATATCATGCATATTTTCTTTATCACTTTGAAAGTCCCTTTTGGACTGAGTGTGTATCTCAACCTGTGTGCAATGAAAAACCTGGTGATTGTATGGTAAATGTACTCCGAGTTACTGTGAATAAGGGAGGGGGGGGAGGGGACACACACCGTATTCCTGTGTAATTTTACTGTATACAGGTTTTTTTTTTTTTTTTTACTGACAGTGGCATCGCTTTGGGAATTTTCATGAAGGCTTTGGTGGTTTGACCATGCTCTTTTTGCTGACCACCTTGACTAATACGTCACTAGTTTTATTTCCTCAATAAACGGAGGCAGCCTCCCAACTAAACCACCCTTCAGTCCGGGCAGACTGCGAGCAATGTTTACAGAGACCATTAAATGAAGTGGAGTGTCTCTCTTAATTCTTTTTATTTGTATCTTAAACAAGTGAGTTCATCAGTCACACTATTCCAATAAATATTACGCATTTCTTGGGACTTGAATTTGGAGTTATTTCCGAACAGAGGGTTTCCTGAAGGGAGCTGCCTGCCAGTGTAGGAAGGGACATAGTGTTCCTTCCCTTTAGATAAACAGGCAGCCACTTTTGGATGAGGATGTGTAGGTGGTGTCAGCCAAGGCTGTTGCCTAACAGTCCCATGCGATGTGAAAGCGCTTGAAGGCCATGGCATTGGATACAGCACTGATAACAGTGGACCATGGGAAGTGCAGTTCAGTGGACAAGCTGCCAAACACGGTGTTGGCAAAGTGGATCTCTCTTTCTCTCCCTTTCCCTTTCTTCCTTGTCCCTAAGTGAATATGATGCTAAGCTATCTCACATCTCCTGTGTTGCGAAGGGATAATTAATGGGGTTCCAATTTTGTTTAGTGGTTAAAATAGAACTGAACATCAATATGTTTTTTTTGTTTTCTTTTTTTAAATTCTTCATCTGTCGATCAACTCGTGTTTCCACAATGTTACACTGACTGCCAGAATTCACACTGAAAAAAACTACTCCGTGCGCTCTCATTGTGGAGTGTTTTCAAGAGCAAGAAAAGATGTGTGCGTGGTTAGAAAGATGCAGAGGACACAGTGATACACAGGAAAATAGAAGACTCTTAGAACTGCCATTTTCAGCCATAGCGTTGTGGCCTCTGAGAATTATACACTCAGCTGGAATAAAGCTCCAATTTTCTTCACTGTAGAGGTCTTAAATTTTTTTTATCTACTCCCATGGGTTTACTTTGGTTGAGGTGGGAAGAGGTACCCAGCTGAGACACTGAATAAACTGGGTCAAAGCTCCTTTTTAGCCTGTATGGCAGACACTGTGGTGCTTAAACCACCAATTTCACACTTGAGGTCCAACCCCAATTTCCTTAACAATTATCCAAATGATAAGTATTAACTTGGAAATGCCTGCCTTATCTTTTTAAATGGCTCCTGTGTATTTACTTGCTCCATATTTTAAGTGTCCAAATGCATATGTAAGGGTGTAATTTAAATGTAAAATGCTATGTATTGTTGTGTAGAAAATTGCAATTACGTGCGGTTTATTGTTCAAACCTCATGCAGAGCCTTCAGCCTTGTTATTTAGTGAAGATCTATGGCACCTAATTGTTGAATCCGACTTGGTTTCCAATTTGTAATATTTATTGTTTAAATTTAGCCCTCATTTTGGAGTAAAGCTCTCTGGTAGTAAAATCACTGAGTCTTCCTGCTTTTGAAAACTGCTACATGCCTCTTTTTTTTGTTTTTTCTTCCTCCGCCCAGTGCTAGCTGACGTGATTTCCATTGTGCCAGAAAGCTGTCAGATTGTTCTGAGCGTGCAAGACCAATGCTGGTCGAAGCATCCAGTGTTGCCGTTGTGTTTACGGGGTGTAGTAATGGCTTACTCAGCTGTTCAGACCGCCACATCCTCCCTGCAGCAGGCTGCTTTCTTTTGATTCACAACAAGGGAATGAGAGGGCAAATATAAAACATGTTTCACTTTGGTGAAAACTTGGAATATAATATAATGGTTTCTAATGCTAAAAACTGAACAAGGAGCAAAATGGACTAAATACAGTACAAACATGCATAGAGCCAATGCTTCAGTATTTGATTGTTGTATTCCTGTCCTGACATATGGGTCTTTGTTGACATGAAGTCTTTAGCGATCAGGCATTTATGACTGTAAAATGAAGAGTACCAATGTCCTCTGGATCAAAACAGATTCATGGCCAGTTGTTTATAGTGATCTTCTGTTAATTTACACTATTTCTCTTGGATGTGATTTTGTTTGCCACACTGCCTGTTTTCATTGAACAGCTCATCAATTCAATATGTTATTTTAAAGCTCACCTGGTGTCACTTAGGCATAATCCCCACACATCTGTCCATGTAAGACAGTTTATGTTGCTTTCCCGGTTTGTCTGTTTTTTCCTTGTCTGTGCAATTTGACAGTGGCTTAAATTGTTCCAGAACAGAGACAGACAGTAAAAATAAAAAAAAAAAAGCTGATTTGATGGAGAGAAAGTTAAACAACTTTGGAGTGAACTTAATTCATGTCAAAAATACTTTTTTGTTTATTATTTTGCTCTGCTGAAGTTGCCTCTTTCTTTTCTTTTGTTCTGTTTTATAATGCTAAGACCAATAACCAATTTGAACAATTTCAGTGTAAAAAAAAAACAAATCGTGCCAGCTCTGAGTCTTAGCCATTGTCAAACATCCAGTGTCAGCCTTTGCAGTGTTGCAACATTAGTGGGGAAACTATTTTATTTCTGTATTCCTGAGGTTAGGCTTTGTAGATGATTTATTTTTATTGTGTTGTAGTGCTCAACCTGTCATTTCCACCTCTGTCTGCAGGGGATTACTGTGAGGTGAATGTGTGCATTAATGGTGGGACCTGTGTGACAGGAGCAGGAGCTCCATTCATCTGTATCTGCCCTGATGGATTTTCTGGAGAAACCTGCAATGAGACTGAGACTGGTAGGCCATCCCTCTGATGCTGAAAGGAGCCTGAGGTCTGAGGTCTTTTTTTTTCCCAACTTGCTGGTTAGACGGTGACCATATGGACAAATGAATCACTGATGCTTGGTACAATCTGGTTAGAAAATTGGTGACTTGTTCTAAAGCAAAACACAGTCTGTAATTTTTAAATAGGAACAGACCAATAATGAAAATGACCTAAAAGATAAATAGCAGTATCTAAAACTGAAATGGTTCAGTCCTGTCCTTTACCCTAACCCAGTTCCTGGATCAACAAAGCTATTTAGAAAAGGTTATATATGCAGTACTGTTCATACTCTGTTTTACTTGTCTCTCCTCTGCTTCTTTTTATATGAATTTTTTTCTTGTCTAAAAGGACCCTGCAACCCCAACCCGTGCAAGAATGACGCCACCTGCGAGGTGACAGGCCACTCCCGCCGCGGTGATGTTTTCAGCGAGTATGTCTGCAAGTGCCAGCCGGGCTTTGAAGGAGTTCACTGCCAGAGCAGTAAGTCTCTGCTCCCTCTTCAGTATTTTTACCAGGATTATTTCAATAGCTATTCAGTAACGACACGTTTTTTCCTGTAGAGTTGCTTTATAAAGTGAGCTCGGGTTAATAAATCTGGTTCTGATGCAGTGCAAGAGCGCAAGTCATGATCAGTCCCACTTTGTCATAATTGGTTGTTATTATTATCCATGGAAAGTAGTTCTGTACTTTCATTTGTAGGTATTTATGTTGTGGCCAGATTAAAAGCTTTCAGTGTATTTATGTTTTGAGAGTCTATATTTTACAAGTCAAAATTATGTCACGATAATGCAAGAAATGCATAACAAAGCTCACTGTGAATGAGTATCCAAATAATCTCATAACGGCATTGCAAAATGTCAAGATCAGTGTGTGAGTGTAAGTTAGGTACTAACTTGTACCAACAAACACAAGTTGGGAATATTTAGATTTATAATGAAACTGTAAGATTCCTATATTAGTAATTAAATACCTATAGTTCTATACCTGTTATTAATTAGCAAGTCCTTGTTGATGTGTTTAGCCTGACACACTGTCACTGAGACAGCTTCCTGTGTGTGCTGACAGCTGCCGCCCTTATGGAAGTGTCACTTGAACCAGGTTGGTTCAATCAGGATCAATCTGAGAGGGCGACGTAACGGTGGTAACGTGTGCTGTGCTTTTCCAGCTGTCTCCAGTGCTGCACAAAGAGACAGATGCCTACTGTTTGCTCAAGAAAGCAGCAGAGTAACTGTAGCCAAGTGTGCAGAAAGAAGTGATTTAGGGGGAATCAAGTGGGACTTCTTGGAAAACGCCCAAGTATAATTTATGTTTGATTATGTGTGCCTTTTTTATCCTAGGTGTCCGAGGGGTGGATATAAGTTTGAAAAAAGGTAACAGTAAAAACTATGACTTGAGGAGAGAATGATGTGTATGTGTGTGTTTGTGTTTTGCACTGTGGTCTCTTTTCCTTCTTGGGTCCAGGTGCTCTCTCTTCTCTTGGTTGCATGTGGGGGCTGAGGAATTCAACACACACACACACACACACACACACACGGAAGCGCTGACTATCTGTTCATGTTTCTGAGTGAAAACCAGTAATGAGATCAGGTCAAGGTTAGAGTCTTTAACTGTTCACCCACCCTGACAGGAAGAAATCCTCTCATATTAAAATATTTTTTGTTCAGCTCCCTCAAGCCACAAACCTTAGTAACATTATACATTTGCCTTCTGAACCTTCTGTTTTCAAATTATCATCTGTTTTAATCAGTAATCCCCAGCTCATATTTATGCTCTAGGCCAAAATATCTGGTTGCATTTTCTTTTACCCCAGAGAACCACAAATCACAGCTCATCAAAATCCATATATTCATAAGTCCTATGGCAACCCTCTGAAGAGCAGGCATTTACACTAATTAGATAATGTCTCAAGGATAATGATGGGAATTTATTTCACTGAGTTGGTTTATGAGAACCCCACTGAGGACTGCTGGGTCACAGAGGGCCCCCTCCATTCACAGTTATAATGACTGTGTTATGACAGTTTAAGTGCTCTCTAATTTGTGTGTGTGGGCAAGGAATGCGGTTTGTGGGAGCCAGATCATATGGTTTTTGTAACGCTGAGATGGAGATGGGCTGTAGAGAACCAGGAGCCATGTAGTGTAGCTAAACGTTTAAGTAGCATCCACAGTCACTTTACTAATGAAAACAAATATTGAGGCAGATATTTTGAAGTAGAGTTTCATTAAGAGTTGAGGACTGTCACTAAAGTTTTCTCAGTGGTCAGTTGTGATGATGATTGCAGAACGAACTGGTTTTTGACCAGAAAGCAATTAAATGCTGAGCCTTAGGCCCTTGACACACCAAGCCGACAGTTGGGCCAGTGGTGAGTTTCTGTCAGGGCTCCTCTTTCTGACACTAGTTGGACCCTGTTGTGATTTCCCCCCCTTCCTTCAGCCATTTCAGCATGTTGACTCTGTGTCGAACCTCGTTGGTAAGAGAGACTACTCTGATTGGCTGTTCAGCTTGGTGAATCAGTGCATGAGAAGAGAAATGTTCGGGAAAGCCCTGTCAGCCTGTCACTGATTTTACTTGTTTAGTGTGGTTTCTCCTTGTTTTTTGTCTCCACAACTCCTTTCTTCTTCCACAACCAAAAGACTAAGGGCAGAGAATGGCAGCCTATCCAGCCTATTTTGATCAGAAGCATCTATAAACAGCAGCGGTGTTGAACGACAGATGCTTTGTTTACAGCTTGCCTAGGTCGTCTTCTTTCCCTTTCTGAATGGCAAATACAGATACCGCCATCTACTGGTAGGGGGAGTTATTTCTGTCACACACAGGCACAGAACGTAGATGCTAGTTGGCTGTAGTTTGTGTGGTGTGTTCAAGTGCCACTATTTCCAGCCAAGTGGGACAGACAAGGCAACGCAACAGTCGGCCTATGTCGTTGCTAGTTCTTTCACATTGGCTTGGTGTGTCTCTGCCCTAATGGGTAGATGTTGGGTAACTGGAGCCAGATGTAGAAGGTGATGTCCTCACACAAATAACAGCATCTAGGAAAATACACTGAAAATCCAACAGAAAGAAGTGGAAGATGGTCTAGCTGGGTATAGAGTATAGAGTTTAAAAGAGCACCAGCCTATCCTATAAGGTTTACTGTCAGTTATAGGAAAGAAATTAACTACAAAGGGCAAATACATTTTCATGAATATGTAGTTCAAATGTATTGTGTCATTGCTAAATACATTTCCCCTCAACCTGTGATCAAAGGAGCAAATAAAATCTTTACTGGTAAAGGCTTAATCACATGTGTGCTGCACATCCCACATGTACAACCACGCACAGCTCATGATCTCATGTACAGGCTGTTTAGCATACACATACACACACGGTTCATTCCTCGTTGCCTGTCTAGCCAACAGAAAGTGACGGTCCATGCTGAGCACTCGCAACGTCAGCACTGCCACTGTTGCCGGGTGAAAAAGTGAACGTGGAGGCGGAACGGTGCATTAAGTCTGCCCTCATGACAATGTCACACTCACTACTCAGGTCTGACTGCAGCATTTCTGACTGTCCTGTCAAATTGGCCTGAAAGCCTTTATGGGTTGTAGAGAAGGAGCGCATATGTGGGAGGACTCAAGTATTGAGATGTAGAGAAGGGGAGAGAGGGAGAGAGAGAGAGATGTTGATGGCTGTTCTCTTTGGACCAAAGGAGTGAGGAAAGAGAAAGTATTTTTCTTGCTTACAGTGTCTAAATCCCATATTTGTACACCAGATTAAGGCAGTTATTTGCTTCTTGGAAGTCACCTGAATGTGTTGTCTTCTCACAGTTGAGTTTTGAGCTCCTACCAGCATGTGGTATTGTGGGCAGTCTGGGCTCGATACCTCCTACAGGGCACAGAGAGTATGTATATGTAATATATACAGGGTGTTTGTCATGGACATGACTGTGCTTGGTGAGCATTTCATGCTTAATTGTCATCTACATTAAACAAACTAGATTGGCCTATTAGATTTCCAGAGTTTCTTATCTGGAATCACAACAGTATCTTACTGTAAGTAACATGAGCAGCTTTTATATTCGTATATACTTATATAATTTACTTTTATCCTGTAAATATAAAATCAATTTTGATCAGACTTAGTGAATGCCAAGATTTGTTTTTCCCATGTCTGCTAAAGTTTTAAAGCATTGCACTTAAAGAACCCCAGCTATCATCTACAGTGCACAGGATCTGGTGTCACTGTGCCTTGATCTATTCAGAGAGAGTGAGCACTTTGAAATAATATGCTCTGTAAATATACTTTATGACATCAGAAGTTTTATCTCAGAGCTCTGCATCCCTCCAGAAGAGATCGGATTTAAGGCTATTCTGGGTGCAAATGCCTTTCCCTGGTGTACTGCAGCCAGTCCAGTCCACAGTGCACAGAAAATAACACATCTGGAAGCCTGTCGGCCTTTTTTTTTTTAATTTTATTTTAATAATGCCACTGTGGTTTTATCTGGTGACCACAATGCCTTTAGAGCACCCGCCCTCGTTGGTAACTGTACTATGGCAACAGTAGGAGTGGTCATTAAAAATATGTAATTTCATGTTTTCAGTGGTTGGAAGAAAAGACTAAATTTTCTTCTGTGCATCATTCCCATTGCAAATGTTGTGTCTAACAAGTTTGATAAAAATTGTACAGTATAGGACAATACATTTGTTGGAACAAAAAGGTTCTTAACCTTTGACTTCTCGCTCCTTACACGCAGTAGTTACTGTTCCCACACAGCTTTTCTTAGGCTGCAGGACAGATCCTGGACATAGAAGGCTTTGCTGATCAATAACACTGCCAGCTGACCTTGGCTTTGCATTGATCAGCATTAGGTTTCAAGTGAGCCACATGAGATGTGTATCAGTTTTTGTTTCATGTGGAGATGCGTATCAACAGCTATAGTTATTGTGGTAGTGTGCTGTTTTCACTCTGAGCCAACAGCTGATGTCGGTACTGTTTTTCTTGACTGGCAGTTTAGAGGAACAACGCCTTCATGCTGAAACATCTCTGTGTGTCTGTCATGGTTAATCAGAGCACCATGAGTGTCTCTATTTCAGGCAGGCATCATTCAAGCAGTAACGGGTCTTTAATCCTTTGCAGTGTTAGCTCGCCCACCTGTTTTTCTACCTGTGTAAGCGATGCTGCCTGCTCCTCAGGCTCCTCCCTGCACTGCCCCCCCTTTGTGGTTGTCAGATGAATGGATTAGAATGTGCAGCTGACCGAGCTTTATGATCCTCCTCCTCCTCCTCCTCTTGGTGCCCAATCCTCTTACTGGAGGGACAGGCAGCTGTCATCGATTACCCATGTAGGTCTCTAGGTTGTGAGTGTAATATTGTCTGACACATCTCAGATGGTGAACTGTATACTACAAGGTGAAAAAACATGATTGGTTGGTGTAATATAGTTCATGATCATATTTTGCCCAGGCACCATTTGAATCCACCCTAAAGTGGATAAATATTTTGACATGGAGCTATTTATAGGGAGAGCATGTGGGTAAGGATATGCTGCCATGCATGTTTGTTGGGTAGAAACATATCTGTGTGCCTGGGATCATTGTGCGCTTTTCTCAAAAATAGCAAACACCAAGAATTAAAGCCTCATAAATTGAAAATCCCCTGTTGCACAGTCATTTGTATAGCCAATGTGAACCTTGTTCTGGGTATCTGGTCAATATAAGGTGTGTTTGGAGCTGGTTTAGTCACAATGACAGTTCTCGTGGATGAGGGGTAAAAAGAGGTTTTATTCTACTGATGCGTTTTCCTCCCTGCCTCATCTAATGCAGACTTGGAGCTGAATGGATAGTGTTGGTGAGGGTGCCATCAAGAGGCAGTACCAAGAATTATAAGGAAAGCAAATATGCATTGGCTATTGGTGATATTCAACTCCTCTTAGAAAACTAAAAGTATCGTGAAGTTTGGGATTTTTCACATATACCCAGCTAAACACATTTCCTCCAGGGACCCTTCCATTCTCTAATCTACATCCTGACTGCAGCTTGTTCCAGATATTTTGATCAAGTCTACATTAAGTGTGTAATGAAACCAGTTCTCCTCTCTCTAGCTTTCTGTCAGCTACAGTTCCAGTCCTGTTGGCATGACTTCAACTAACCTCAGTGTTGGAAGAATATCAGAACTTGACTCTCAAGCATGGCCCTAACTCACACTTCTAACTGTGATCTGCCTCCAGACTGGCTGATGGCAATCAACCAGTAAGTTGTTTGTGCTTGACTTCAGTAGATGAAGGTGTGATTTATTTCTCTGTAGATGTGAACGATTGTGCTGGACAGCCATGTGAGAATGGTGGCACCTGCAGGGACCTGAATGGAGACTTCAAATGCCACTGCCCCTCCCCTTATGTGGGCAAACATTGCCATCTGCGTAAGTATGACCGGCCAGCACTCTGTTACTGCACGCTTTCAGGGCCAAATGGCTAAAAAAGATGTGATCAGTCTGCCTTTTTGACATGTGTTTATGTAGCCACTGATGCTGTGTGGATATAGTGCGTGTGCGTGTGTGTTGCCTTTCTAACTTTAAGCCATTGCAGGAGATTGAATAAATTAAATGGTGCGCTATTGCTAGTGGAATAGAAATAAAGTAATTGAACTACAGTAAGTGCAGCTGAAGGAAGACACTAAAGATGATGGGCCTGGACGTCAGCCAAGCTGCTGTTTCAGGAAAATCAATAGACGGCATATAGAGGACTTGGGTCTAAATGACGCATCAATACTTTATTCAATTAATCTGATTCAAAGCTCTGCATCTTTAATGATTTTATGGTTTAAATGACTCGCTGCAGGTTTAGCACACACACACACACAATATGTCAAAGTGACCATGTACTGACATCACTTTTTTTATCAATATCGTTTTTAAGACCATTGTGTACTCACCATTCTTCTCTATAGCCTTAAAATTAAAATCTTTTCTGGGTTCACGTACAGCAGCAGAACACGAGGTTTAGAAATTTCAGCACTTGGCTACGTAAATCTTTAATCAAGTTTCATCATGCTGATGTCTTGAGTCTGCCCCACCTCCCCACCACAGGCTGTGTTTCTCTGCTCGGCATGGAGGGAGGGGGCATCGCCGAGTCCCAGATATCTGCCTCATCTGTCCGCTACAGCCTGCTGGGCATGCAGCGCTGGGGACCTGAGCTCGCCCGCCTCCACAACAAGGGTCTGGTTAATGCCTGGAGTGCTGCTGCACATGACAGAAACCCATGGATAGAGGTGAGACCAGTGATACAGCACAGTGCAATGCAACATACATGTAAAGTACAAAATTAAGTGAAATGATAACAGACAACAAGGCTTTTAGTGAAATTATCATAAATATAGAAATTCCATTAAATGTTTATTATTGAGGTCATAGTTAAAGGTGTTGTACTGGACTACATTATATTCAGAGGTGTTCCTAATATTCTGACCCTCTCATGTATGTAGCTGGGAAGGACACTTCTAAGTATAATGTAGTCCAGTACAACAGCACCTTTAACTATGACCTCAATAATAAACATATAATTGAATTTATACATTGATGACAATTTCACCAAAAACTGAAACGTGAGCTTCATAAACACAGATGTTAAGGAGGAAGTGTTACATTGATTGTACCTACAGTAATAAAGTGGCCGATGAGTATATGTGGAGATGTTTAGATATGGAATGCATACGTCTCAAAAAAGAAAAGCTCCTTTATTGATTCATTTGTCGTCTTTATTGATGAGGTTTCATAAATGGAGAGCCTCTTCTGAATTCTGAAAAAGATTTACTGCCCTGACATTATTTGTAAGTAAGGTTTATTTATATAGCACCTTTTCGCAGATAAAATCAGAAAGTGCTTCACAAAGACAACAATGAAAAGCGGAAAACAGGCAAACGACAATATGCCAACAACACCAATGGATACTATGTAAAACAATGATAAAAATAGATTAAAACATGGCTATCAAATCAACTAAAAGCCAGACTAAACAAATGTGTCTTCGGCTGCTTCTTGAAACCATCAACAGATTTGCATTGATTTTAGTGCGCTTGACATTTCCTGAAACTTAATTAACTCATGTTTGCTCTTTTTCCACAATTCTAGATCAACATGCAGAGGAAGATGCGCTTCACAGGTATCGTGACTCAAGGTGCCAGTCGCATAGGAACAGCCGAGTTCATCAAGGCCTTCAAGGTGGCTTCCAGCCTGGATGGCAGAACATACACCATGTACAGAACAGATGGACAGAGGAGGGATCATGTGAGAAGACGCGTTGCTGTACAGCATGATGCCACTGCAGCTGTGTTTTAAACACTTTTTTTGCCCCTTTTCTCATGTTGAAAGAATCAATAAAAAAACACAACATATTTTCTAAACAGAGAAAAGAAATGGCTATAGGGAGCAGTGACCTTTCCTCACAAGTATTGCCTCATCTGGTCGCATTCTAATGTAAACTGATTGTAAGACTGTGTAATGTCTTTTGCAATAATACAGATAACTACACCAGTTATGAAACAATGGAACTAATTATTTTAGATTATTTTCAGAATAAGCTTAATCCTTTAGTTCATCCCATAGTTTATAGTAATCACAGAGTGCCTGGAAAACATCATAAATAATGATATCAGTTGTAAAATATGTGATTAACGCTAACAGTCCGCTTTTTCTAACCCATCTCTCTTTCTTAGGTGTTTGTTGGGAATGTGGACAATGATGGCACCAAGACCAACCTGTTTGACCCCCCAATCATCGCCCAATACATCCGCATTGTCCCTGTGGTTTGCCGCAAGGCCTGCACCCTGCGCATGGAGCTGGTGGGCTGTGAACTCAACGGTAAAAAAAAATGCACAACATGCCCATGCTGCTGTATATCCACAAGCTGTAGCTGTTTACTAATGTTTTTGTGACTGGAACATACTTAAGTCATTCAAACTCCAGGTGGGAAAAGTTTACAGTCTGTTTCTTCACTAATTATTTTCAGTCCTATGCTCAGTGATCGATCATATTTCAAAGCATGTTACTTGGAGCACTGCTCAACTAAGTAACTGTGTTTGAGTCTATTCCAAGATGATCCACAAAGCTCTTATTAAAACCATACGATCTTATTTTGTTATAATAACAATGCTGGTAAGCTTATGTTAGATGGTAATGACTGAGACTTTGTTTTACCTTAGAAAACACGTTGGTCATATTAGTCATCTGAAAAAGTAATACTAGGTTGTTGAAAGTCTTCTGTATTTAAAAATGTCTTTTTCGCCTTGCTTTTTGAAACTTCCTGGACTCATTCCACTGTTGACTGTTCACGTCTCGTGTCTAATTTATCCGATCATTGTCTTCTTCTCCTGCTTCCCAGTTCGTGCATGATTGCACACCTGCTGTTTTAGGGGTACCTGCCAGGCTGGCATGAGATCACAACCAGCATGTGTTTTAATGAAAGGTTGTTTGTTTGTTTTTTTTTTTTTTTTTTTTTTTTTGTTTTTTTTATAAACACGGCACAACTACTTAATGTAAAATGCACTTTGTGAAGTTTTGGAAAGAGTTTTCCTGAAGGTTGTAGGCTAATATTTCAAACTCACTTGACTCAAGAGAAGGAGAAATGATGTTGCTTAAACATCTGCCGCTCATGGTGCCAGACAGCAACAGTCCAGCTGAAGCGAAAACTTTTCTAAGTTGCTTTGACCCTTAGTTTGTCTGACCTGCCTTCTCAGCTGCCTCACTAACACACACTCATTAAAGACTCTTCACACCCGTTCTAGGTAACACATTTGTTTCTGCTTCAGGATCTGCATTCTGCTCATACTGAACATGTGACATGATACGAGTATGAGAATCCTGTAAACTGAAAACTTGTAGATAATAATAATGATAACGTGGGCTTGATGAAATTGAACCACACTTGCTAGAAAAAGTGAATTGAAGGAATTACCAGATTCCACCACGTGCTTTCTAAAGCTGCACATTCACCTATATACCAGTACAAGCCCACTGCATCTGCTGCTCTCGTCCTCACCTCCTCATCTCTCTGTATCTGTTGCTTCACTTCACTGTCTGGGTTGGGCCGCATCCTGTCCATCCCCTGTCTATCATACTTTCTTTCTCTTTCTTTCCATTCCTCTGTCTCTCTCCCTGATCTCACCTCACAGTGTATTCAAACACTTCAGGTTGTTCAGAGCCGATGGGCATGAAGTCCCGGTTGGTGTCTGACCGTCAGATCACGGCCTCCAGCGCCTTCCGCACCTGGGGCATCGAGGCTTTCACCTGGCATCCTCACTATGCCCGACTGGACAAACAGGGCAAAACCAACGCCTGGACCGCTGCTACCAACAACCAGTCTGAGTGGCTGCAGGTCGACGGTGTTGAAGGACAGGATTTGTCCATTTTTTTTTTTTTTTTTTTTGTAAGTTTGCCCAACCAGGCATATATAAAGTGAGGCTGCATCTGTGTCCTCAGGTGGACCTGCTGTCCCCAAAGAAGATCACAGGAATCATCACACAGGGGGCCAAAGATTTTGGCTCCATCCAGTTTGTCACCGCCTTCAAAGTGGCTTACAGTGATGACGGAAAGTCCTGGACCATTGTGAAGGACGAGACCACAAAGACAGACAAGGTCAGTCACAGAAGCATGCTTGCAGATGAATAAAAAATTAAAAATACATCTGATAGGAACAAACAGTGTTATTTAGGGTGTTATGTAAAAGGATAAAGAATACAGACTTTTGCTGAGGGTCATTTATTTCTGTGGTCTTTAAGGAAAATGTTAAAAAATGTCATGATAATTCTGCTTATATGTGACTTGCTTGCCTACACACCTGGAACAAATCTTGTTGACACTGGGTCTGATTAGTTCTCTGCATGCATTTGTTCATAAATGAATCCAGAAATCTGTTTACCGGCCAGATGTGCAACCACATACAGCCAAATGAAGTCATTCAGTCAAGGGTGTGGAACAGACTGCTCTGATTTATTCCATGAATTGTTTATAATTGAGTTCAGTTTTTGACTTGAATCTGTTTTTTGGGATATATGCATTGTATATTTTATGGGGTGTTTGTGATGTTACGAATGTTCAAGGTTCCTTTTATATGAATTTGTTTGGTGTCTGTGTTGAGTCAGGTAAATCAGATTTTGTGAATCATCCCCCACAAGAGATTAAACCCAGTTTCATTGTGCCAGCAGTTTTACTCATTTTGATTAACTGTTGTTTTCTGTCCAGATCTTCCCAGGAAATGGTGACAACAATGTTCACAAAAAGAACATCTTTGAACCCCCCTTCTATGGCCGATACGTCCGCATCCTGCCGTGGGAATGGCATGAGCGCATCACCCTGCGCACAGAGCTTCTGGGCTGTGACGAGTAGCACCCCGCGGTACCTGCCTACTCCCTCCTCCTTGTTTCTCTACCTCCTCTCCTGTTCCTCTACCCTCCTTCCTTTCTCCCTCCTGACCACACCTGCACTGCCTTGCTCTCAGCACTAGGGGGCAGCAAACACCAGATAGCATATTGCCACCCCAACACTGGTTGTTTGGAGGTGGGTGATGTTACCCCTAACCCCTGTTACCAGGTCCCAGATTGAGATTAGCTCTCTTTGTTCGTTTCCTGAATTGCTCTTGGATCTTTTCCACTGAAATAAATCTGTGACCATTTCAGGAATCAACATTTGTTACTAAGCAGAGCTGGGGGGGTCTTTTTCTTTAACCCTGCCTCCAGGCTAACTTAAATTTGGGGACTCAGTCATCCCTATGACAGAGGTCAGGGGTAACAAGACTGCTAATGCATCTGTTGGGTGCTGCCTGGACTCTGATCCTAGATCTGTTCTACCTGGAACATTGAACCTCCAAGACCCACAGCTGGTGATGTACATAAGTGCCACTTAACAGCGTGCACATGACCTATAACTGAACATTTGATCGCCCCCCCAGATGCAAAGAATAATATATATCGTCTTTAGAGAATGCATTGATGCTTTTGGTTGATTATTTTTTCCCAAGAAATGTGTCTGCACGTAAAGAATTAGATTACAGTGGCAGATAACTGGAACTACTGTCACTAAATCTTATGGAAGCCATGCTTGGTTTTCTTTAGTGGGGAAAAGCTAGCAAGTCAACTACAAAAAAATAAAAAAACCAATATACATTTAAATATTGTGGTCTTTGTTATGGGAAAATAAGAGAGTTGAAATCTCAAGGAGTCCCACTGAGTGTGCAACAGTGTTCCTATTCTGTTCCTACAGTAAAATCCTGAGTCCATGTTTTCTACAGTACAATTTATTTGATGTGCTTAAAAGTGCACCACTCAAGGTGTGCACTATTCACTTTATTACAACTTGTATGTGTAGTAGCCAGTAACAGAAGAGCTAAAACCCCACTATCAAACCAATCCTCATTTTTTACTCAACTCAAATCCTGGTTCAGGTTTTACAAAGTCACATGAAATTTGGTGCCAGGCCATGGCATGATTTGGCCAAATCAGGGTCAAGTTTGGCACAAACACACTTTCTGGTTTTGTGGGTTTATTTAGAAAAATATAGTAAGGTGTACAGACATACACAAGGACAAAAGACAAACCAGTCAATGAATGGGACATAATCACTGAAGCATCACAGCCAGTTTATTTGTCAAAATAGATGTTCTCATTAACCCTCTGTAACAGACATGAAGTTACAATGGACAAAAAAGTTTTGGATAATTTGTTTAGTGAAAGAAGAAATACACTATTATTCTTGGGGAAATGAATAGTAGCTGTTGACTGACATTTACATGCACTGCTGTCATCCTCAGCCAACACAGGACACAGCTCATGTTCAGAAGTCTTACATTATTAATTCAAACAATAATTTTACCTTTTATAGTGATTCTAGCCCATTGATCGCTCCCCCCCCCCACATATGACAGTTATTGCAGTGTTCATATGTTATTGGCTGTTACGTCAGATTTGTATCAAGTTTCATGAGG